GATTTTGAAACAATCTGATTAAAAATAGGGAGATAAGATGGGTTGATATTAAAAAAAAATTATTTCGTAAAATTAGACAATGTATTTCAAAGTGTATCATGTTTTTTTTTTAATTGCAAAAATTATTATTAAATTTTTTTAGAAAAAAGGTATTTATTATTTTAAATGTAATTCTAAGTAGTCAAACTTAAGTTTTATAGTGTTAATATACTCCATTGAAAATATATGGCAAATGATTTTTTTTAATCTTGTTTTTACTTTTGGTCAAAAAAATGCTTCATTGAAACATTGATGCAGTTTTTTCGTTTTTGGTTGTAACTATAGTTTCTGGATAAAACCGTTGGAACAAACGTTACTTGAATTGTTTTTCATCACTGTGACTTTTTAAATGTTGATGTAAGGTTTATTTTTGAGTAAAAGCTTTGGAACAAATGCCACACTTGAATGGGTTTTTACTACTGTGAATTAACAAATGTCGCTGTAAGTCAAAATTTCGATGAAATTATTTGGAACAAATGTCACACTTAAATGGTGTATGTTCTAATCATGCTACTATTAATGTTGATCAGTTTATCGATCAGATGGTACGTTGTAGGATTAATATTAAACGTAACTCCCACTATCAAAAATTTATAATTTTAAGAAATTAGACCTAATAGATTTTGAGCAAGATTTGTCCTATATTGATTGAGCGGAAATTTTATATTTTAAAGATATTGATAGTAAAGTTAATTATTTAACAATGCAAATAATTACCTTATTTGATAAACGTTGTCCCTATAGAACAGTTCGGATAAGTAAGCCTAAAGCGCCTTGGATAACGCATACTATTAAAATAAATTTTTGAAGAACGCGATCGAGCTTTATCAAACTTTAAGCAAAATAAAACACCGGAAAATTGGACAAATTATAAAAAACTTCGCAATTTTGCCTTAGCTTCACTAAGACGCGAAAAGTCTGCTTATCTGGAATACTTAAACAATCTACATCTAAATTTATTAAAACACTAAAAACTATGAAAATTCAGTCAAATAATAATAATAATAATATCCCTTCTTCACTGTGTAATCCATTTAAAATCAATGAATACTTTTCAACAGTTTTTCAAACAATTGATATGAACCGTTTTAATTCAATAGCAACATATAGAAATGATAAATATAATGAAACTATCGAATTTCACTTAAACCAGTCACTATTGATACTTTTTACAAAATACTACAAAATATCAAATCTAATGCTGGAGGCAGAGATTATATAAACTTACAAATGTTAAAAATGTGTTTAAATGTTATTGATGTATACGTACTACATATTGTTAATTTGTGTTTGGAACAAGGATATTTTCCAAAAGCATGGAGGCAAGCAATGATCATTCCTCTTCCAAAAAATCAAAGCTTATTTTCAAACAGATTCATTCTTCGAGATAAATCGTTGAAAGCGAAACTTTGTCAAAGCTTAGTCATATCTAAACTTACTTACGGTAGGTATCATCATTTATAATAAATCGTCTTCGGTTACAAATTATGCAAAACACATGCCGTAGTCGTCAATGGTCTTTGAAAGTTTGATCATATCTCATGCTTTTATTCAAACAAGATAGCTAACAATAATTTCTTGTCGAAATATAATTAATATATGTAAATATGTAACACAAAAGTGTCTAAACAACACTCAGTCTGCTCTACTGAAAAGTTGATTAGAATGACTGCAGTTTATCTTTGAGGTACTGATTACCCATTAAATAATTTTCAAAACGTTGACCATAATTTTTTAATTGAACCTATTTTTCTAGTATACAGGGTGTTTCCGAACTTGGCGTCCAAATTTGTAGGGGTGGTAGTTCGCAAAATTTGAGAGCGATTGGAAGATTTCATTTTTCTAAAAAACTTATAATAAACAAAATAGAGCCATTATAAATAAATTCCAAGAGCAGGTCCTACCCTGAGCGCGTAGCGCAATAGTCCTCAAAAACAGATGCGATTTGCAATTTTGTCCATTCTAAGGGTAGCGCGCGCCAGTCGAGGAGATCATATCGCTGTGCAGGACCGTACCTGTTTATAATTTTTAATTATTTTTAATTTAAATATTTTGGAAAAATGAAATCTGCGATTCGGTCTTAAATTATGCGAACTACCACCCCTACAAATTTGGACGCCAAGTTCGGAAACACCCTGTATTATGTTATTGTTTTAGCCTTGATTATATTATTATTATATTCTTCAAACAGTAGTGTGTGAAGAGTATTATAGGTTTACTTTCTCCGATGTCTCGTTTTTTGTCTGCACAATAAGTCAAAAACGAAAAACGATATCAACTTGAAAATTTTAAGCAAAAAAACAAGTTCTATAATGGGACAAAGCCTATTGATTTTGAAACAATCTGATTAAAAATAGGGAGATGAGATGGGTTGATATTAAAAAAAAATTCTTTCGTAAAATTAGACAAATGTATTTCAAAATGTATCATGTTTTTTTTTTAATTGCAAAAATTATTTAATTTTTTTAGAAAAAAAGGTATTTATTATTTTAAATGTAATTCTAAGTAGCCAAACTTAAGTTTTATAGTGTTAATATACTCCATTGAAAATATTGGGCAAATAATTTTTTTTAATTAATCAAAAAATGGCTTTATTGAAACCTTGATGCAGTTTTTTCGTTGTAACTATAGTTTCTGGATAAAACCGTTGGAACAAACGTTACTTGAATTGTTTTTCATCACTGTGACTTTTTAAATGTTGATGTAAGGTTGATTTTTGAGTAAAAGCTTTGGAACAAATGCCACACTTGAATGGTTTTTGTCTACTGTGAATTAACAAATGTCGCTGAAAGTAAAAATTTCGATCAAATACTTTGGAACAAATGTCACACTTAAAAGGGTTTGTACTACTGTGAATTAATGAATGTCGTTTTAACTCAGAACTTCGATAAAAGCGTTTGGAACAAATGTCACACATGAACGGTTTATTACCACTGTGAATTTTTAAATGTTGCTGTAAGTCTGATTTCCAGGTAAAACCTTTAGAACAAATAACACACTTGAATGATTTTTCACTATTGTGAATTAATAAATGTCGCTGTAAGTCATGATTTCGATAAAATGCTTTGGAACAAATGTCACACTTGAATGATTTATCACCACTGTGAATTATTAAATGATCATGCAAGTAAGATTTTCGATCAAATGTCTTGGAACAAACATTACATTTAAATGGTGTTTCACCACTGTGAATTAATACATGTCGCTTTAAGTCACAATTTTGATTAAATCCTTTAGAACAAATGTCACACTTGAAAGGTTTTTCACTACTGTGAGTTATTAAATGGATACGCAAATGAGATTTTCGATCAAATATTTTAGGACAAATGTCACACTTAAATGGATTTTCACTGTGAATTATTAAATGTTGCTGTAAGTCACGTTTTCGAGCAAATCCTTTAGAACAAATATCACACTTGACTGGTTTTCTACTACTGTGAATTTTTAAATGTTCTTGCAAGATAGAATTCTGATTAAATACTTTGGAACAAATCTCACATTTAAATGGTTTTTCACCACTGTGAATTATTAAATGACGCTGTAAGACTGAATTCTGAATAAAACCTTTAGAACAGATATTACACTTGAATGGTATTTCACCACTGTGAATTAATACATGTCGCTTTAAGTCACAATTTCGATTAAATCCTTTAGAACAAATGTCACACTTGAAAGGTTTTTCACTACTGTGAGTTATTAAATGAATACGCAAATGATATTTTAAGGAAGATGAATAAATAAAACCTTTAGAACAAATGTCACACTTAAAAGGTTTTTCACCACTGTGCTTTATTAAATGATAGTGCAAATGAGATTTTCGATTAAATACTTTAGGACAAATATCACACTTAAATGGTTTTTCAGCACTGTGAATTATTAAATGTTGCTGTACGTCACGTTTTCGAGTAAATTCTTTAGAACAAATATCACATTTGAATGGTTTATCACTGCTGTGAATTTTTAAATGTTCATGAAAGTGACATTTCCAATTAAAAACTTTAAAACAAATGTCACACTTAATTTTTTTTTCACCATTGTGAGTTATTAAGTGTTTTCGTAAGGTAGATGTATGATTAAAGCATTTAGAACAAATTTCACACTTGAAAGACTTTTTAGCACTGTGAATTAGTAAATGTTTTTCTAACTTGGATTTTAGATTAAACGTTTTGAAACAAATACAACAATTAAACGATTTGCCGTCAACGTCATCAATGTTTTTCAGCATCAACTTTTTAGAAGAAAGATTGCATTTCAAAGGTTTGTTATCGATATTTTTTATTCTAGTTTTCACTATATGAATGAAAAAATGTTGAAGAAAATCAATTTTTTTCATTAATCTTCCACAGAACTGACAAGCTGCGTAGCGTTTCTCAAAATGTCCATCAATATGAGTTGATCTTGACTTAGAAGAAGGAAAATCTGCAAATTAAAAAAATAGTGTATGACTATGAGTTTAATATTCACTTCTAAAAAAATACTTTTGATTTTCTTAGATATTACAAGCATCCTTATTTCAATTTAAATAAAAAAACTATTATCATTCATGTATTTATTTAACTATAAAACAAAATATAGAAATAAAACGAATGGAAATAGTGTAAAAACTACACAAAAAATGAGGAATGAGGTGAGTACAGTTGATGAAACCGAAATGTAAACGCCAACATTTAATAATGTGATTTTGACTTTGCTTCTTACGCCCATATGCACCGTTTTAAAATTTAATCTAGATTTGCAAATCTCGTTTAAATGACTAGTGGTTATTTTCTATGCACCGGCTACGGATTAGATAATCGAGTTTAGTAATCTGACAACAATGGATTTTGAATAATTTTGCAATTACAGAAGAAGAAAACTTCAGATTTGAGTAGAAAACTGTATGTCGAAAGACAAGGGGTCATGGAAAAAAAATATTGGAAAACGTCAAGAAATTGATTTATTTTAAAATATTTTTCTTCAAAATGAACCAAAACCGTGAACAAACCGTAAAACGGATACCAAATTTCACAAAGAGTGAGAAAGAATGCCTTATGAATTTAATATTAAATAATTACGCTGCAACATTAGAAAATAAAAAAACCAATAGAGTTAATATGCAGGAGAAAAATGAAATATGGAAAAGAATCGAATGCGACTTTAATAGTAAAGCGCCTTTAGTTCATTATAGAAGTGCTGAGCAATTAAGGAGACTTTATGAAAATAAGAAAAAGGAACTTAGGAAGAAACTAGCAGAGCATAAAAAACAGACCTATTTGACAGGAGGTGGCCCTCCACCTACTGATATAAAAGTTGATGCTATTGACAAAATTCTTATGCAGATAGTAAACAAAAAGAGTCTCAGCGGTTTTAGCGTAGAATATGACTCTGACATTGTAGATGAAGCAGAACCAATCCGTAAGAAGAGTAAAGAGGATGAAATTGAAGACGTTATTTACGAATTTGAAGCAAGTGAGTTTAAAGACATTGATATAATCGAGAATATTATTGAAAATGAACAATGTCCAAAAAGTATAAGTAAAAGATGTCCTCCACAAGGTTTTCAGAAACCTTTAAATGAAAAACTAAAAGTACAGCCTACTTTAAAAGTTATGCCACCTACACTATCATTGTCTTGTGTAAGTACTTCAGGTACTTCAAATTCTAATAAAACTCCTAAATTTAGTGCTAGAAGAAGACCAACTGGAGGAGTTAAAACTCTAACTTCTTCAGATTTTGCAGAAAAATATGTTTTATTAGATAAACGGTCGATTCTTGTAGAAAAACAAATTGAACAAATAACTGAACAACAATACTTTGTCAGAGAAGAACAGAAACGTAAACTGAAGATATTTCAACAGCAAGAAGACAATTTGAATTTAGAAAAAGAAGAGAGAAAAATGAAAATAGAACTACTGCAACTGGAAATTAATAAAAAAAAGTCCTAAAACTTTTTAATTAATTGTGAAGATATATATTAGTCCATTATGTTGTATATTTAAGAGTTTAATGTTCCTTTGTTATAAGATTTGTGTTTTTGATAGACTACAATATATTTTCTTTTGCTGAAAAATATATTTCTTTTCGGTTGACAGAAGATAAAGAAATACTTGAAAAAAAAAATAAAATTTATTAAAAAATAATTTATGCATTTAACAATAATTTTATAAATATCCAAAATAATTATTAATAAGATGTTGCCTCAGATTAAATACTCCATTACCTCCTTGTTCTTGAGGATGTCTTATATTATGTTCATCTTCAATGTTTCCAAGTGTAATTAAATAATTCAGTTGGTTTTCGTCTATATTTTCAGGCGGTGGGGGAATATTTTCATTACTTTCAATTGCAACAGTTATTCCTAAATATTTTATGTTTTCTTTTGCATAGATTTGTATGTCTCTATTATTATTTTTTATTTGTAAGGTGTCATATGTCGGCAATGAATTTGTGTAGCAACTAAAGGGAATAAAACAAGTTTTACTAAAATTAATGGTTAGTAATTTTGAATTAAAACAATTTATTAAAATACTCATATCTGCTTCTGCTTTCTTTTTTAGATCTTCCCAGTTTTGCGCTGTATATAGTATAATGGTATCATCTGCGAAACTACTTACTGTCCCAGTACTATTGAAGGTGAGTATTTCGTTTATATACAGTATGAATAATATGGGACCCAATACCGTTCCTTGAGGTACACCGTATGTCATTATTTTTTCAGAACTTTTTCTTTCACTTATAGTTACGTACTGTTTTCTTTCTTCTAGGTAACTTACCATTAGTTTGTATGGGATGCCTCGGAAACCAATGCCTTCTAAAGTCTTCAACAACTGTGTGTGACTCACAGTGTCGAAAGCCTTTGCAAGGTCTAAAAATATACATAGGGAATGTTCTCCATTGTCAAGATTTTTATAAAGTTCGGATGTTAAAAAAGTGATAGCATCTTAAGTAGATTGTCCTTCCCGAAATCCAAATTGACGTTTTGAAAGAATGGTATGTTTTTTTATATAATGTATAATTCTGGTCTTTAGAATTTTTTCAAAAATTTTAGCAAAGTTTGTTATCAAGCATATAGGTCGGTAATTAGTTACAATTTGTTTATCGCCGCTTTTGTACATGGGTTTTATAATGCCAATTTTAAATACCGAAGGGCAATGACCTTTTTCAAAAATTGCATTAATTAGGTGTACCAGCGGTAGTGATATTTCTTCCTTGACTTTTTTCAGAAGTTCACCTTTTATTAAATCATAACCGGGGGCTTTATGAGGTTTTAGAGATTCTATAGTTTCAATAATCTCATTTTTATTTGTGGGTGAAAGGAAGATTGAAGAAGAAATTGTTTTTGGTTTAAGAGGACAATTTTTCGGGACTTTAATTTCATTTGCTAATTTGCTTCCTATTGTAGCGTAATGTTCATTAAAAATTTCAGCTATTTCAGTTTTATTTTGTGTTATTGTTCCATCTGTTTTTAAAATTTTACTAATATTGTTTTGATTATTACCTCTAAAAATTTCGTTAACACAGTTCCATAAATTTTTTGTATCCCTATTTTGATTGATTTTCTGTTTGTAGTAATTATTTTTTGTCGTTTTTATTAAATTATTTAACGAATTTCTGTATGCAATATACTCACTTTTTAAATTTTCGTTTTCTAGATTAATTTTATAACGTTTGTATAATTTATCCCGAATTCCTATTGATTTCATTAAACCGTTTGTAATCCAACTTTTTTGCATTACTTGTTTGTGTTTTAATTTAACTTTTTTTGTGTTTTTATTAATAATGTCAATAAATAAATTTGTGAAATATGTTGAGCAGATTTCTGGATCAATAATGGAATAGAATTGCGCCCAGTTAAAATTTCGTAACTGCTTTTGTCAATATTATTGATGACATACCAATCCGCCCTGTCGTGTCATATATAAATTCACCAACATATTATACATCAAAGTGGTTGAATGACATACTCAAAATCCATTATAAAGATCACTTTACACATACAGTCAAAAATAGTGTACAACTTGTAAACAACATCAAAAATGTTCACATTAATGATACAGATTCTTTGATCTCTTTAGATGTATCAAACTTATTCACAAATATTCCTATACCAGAAGTTCTAGGTTTTGTTGAATCACATTTGTCAAGTTCGAATATGTCTGATATTGAACTAGTAGAATTTTTGAACCTTCTCAAGGTTTGTTTAGAACAAAACTTTTTTTCATTCAACAATGAAATTTTTTCACAAACAAATGGACTTTCTATGGGATCTCCACTTAGCCCAATTTTAGCAGACATATTTATGCACAATTTTGAAAAAGAAAAAATCCTTAAAAACAACCTTTTCCACTCAAATGTGAAATTCTATTATAGATATGTTGATGATATTTTGATTTTGTGGTCAGGTAACTTAGACTCATTAAATGACTTCTTGACTTATATTAACGACTTACATTCTAATATTAAATTCACATTAGAAATTGAAATAAACAAATCTATTAACTTTTTAGATCTTAAAATCTCACACAATAATAACAAGTTCAACTTTGACATCTATAGAAAGCCAACACATACAGGCACAGTTATAGACAATACCTCTAACCATCCAGCAACACATAAATTGGCTGCCTTTAATTGCTACTTAGAGAGGCTATTAAACGTTCCTCTGTCTACGGAAAACTTTAATAAGGGACTAAATATAATTAAAACTATTGCTATAGATCACAACTTTGAACTAGATATTATTGATAAAATGCTAACACATAAACAAAATAAAATTCAACAAAATTTAGTTTATATTAACAATCCTAATATGGTACATGAACTAACCACCAGTAAGAAATACATTTCTCTTACCTTTATTGGAAAAGCATCCTATAAAGTGGCTAGCTTACTCAAAGACCACTTTAAAGTATCTTTCAAAACCCCCTCTTCATTACATAAGTTATTTGTTCATAATAAAGATAAATTAGATCCCTTTGACTTATCTGGAATTCATAAATTAACTTGTAAATCTTGCCATTCTTTCTATGTGGGACGCACATTTCGAAATTTCAAGATCCGTTTAAAAGAACATTTACGTTGTCTTAACCAAAATACAACAGGTTTTTCACATTTTGCCAACCACCTACTGGACTCAAATCACGACTTCGATTTAACTGAAGGTTTCGAAATCCTTCATAGTTCCTACAATAGATTTACTCTTAATAGCTTCGAAAACCTCGAGATATTGAGACATTTAAAATTAAATCCTGTTGGTTGCTTAAATGCCCAGATATTGTCAGAAACTCCTCCTGTTTTCTCAACACTAATCTAAATTTATCGTTCTAACTTCCTTTTTAACCTCCCCCCTTTATTTCTATTCACATATCTTCTTGCAAGGGGTACATTTCAGTAAGTAATTTTTATATTTTTTATATTTTTTCCCATAAGAAACCAACGAGCACGTGTAAAGATTAGGTTAGATTGTCTGATATCCACATGCGTCATTTTCTTCTTTTATTCTTCAGTTGCTTCACAACAGTTAACCCAGTCATTTCTTCTTCTTTCTTCTTCCTACAACATCACATACACTTGGTGATTGGTTCATGGCCCAAATCTTATATAATAGATAATAAATAATTCTTCACTCATAGTTTACATCTTATTAACTATACCCTGTCATAAGTTTACCCAAGAATTTTTTCGTTATAATACTTACCACCACCTGTAGAGGCCTTAACCTGACAGGTCTCCTTTCAAAAAATGTTAGTTTTTTTAAAAAACAACAATGTTTAAAATAGGCCTTATCTTTTAATCTGTTTAATGTATGTAATTTGTTTTTGTATAGTCTTGAATATTTTAAATTTTTACTATAATTGACTAATATTTGTTTTTTCAAATATTTTTAACTTTTTATTACGTGTAAATCGGTTCATTTTACAATTTATTTCAACCCATAATTGATGAAACTTGTTTTTGTAGTATTCCCTAGTGGATGGAGAGTATGGTGAGTTTTCTCTTTTTTATTATATTATATATCGTTTTGTTTCCAAGTTAACACACCTTACACCACATATTCTCCTTTCCACTAGGCGAGCCTGAAGATGAAGTGATGACACTTCGAAACCGGTCGCACTCAATGTTTTGTTAAACAATTAAACATTGACTTTCCTTGTGAGATATAAAGGACTTTTTCTCACCCTTCACCTTAAAATTACCTCAACTCACACATGGCTACCCCCCTTGTCAATTTAAATATTAACTGGAATTTATATCTTCCTCTAGAACGTTGATATTAAAATCACCTGCAATTATGTTATGATATGTTTTTTGTAAAGAAATTTCTTGTAAATACTGTTTAAAATCAATAATAAAATCTTTTATTTCTATATCGTGAGACCTATATAGTGCTGTTAAAAGTATTATGTTTTCCTGAAAAAATATTTTAATTTGTATAGCCTTGCATCGACCAATATTAACTATTTCATATGAATAATTTAAATAATTTCTTAAATACACTACAACTCCATCACATATATTAATATCTCCTTCATTATATATTATATCATATCCAGGAATGTTAAAATCATTTTTATTAGTAATTTTCCTTGTTTCGGTTAAGATAATACATTGTATTTCCTGATAAAACTTTGACAGATATATTTTAAATTGGTCTATATTTTTTCCTATGCTTCTTATATTTTGTTTTAACACAATAAACTTTGATTTACAATTTTTATTTTGACTGTTATATTGTTCTACAGAATCTAGCTCTATAGTTGGTAATGGAGTATAATTATAATCTCTAATATACGGGTTTGTTAGCATCATTAATTATTGTGATAAGAAAATACCAACCCGAAGGCAATAGCTCTCAAGAGTGGGTGGTACGGCACAGCGAGCCACGTGCAGGTACCGCTCCGGGGCAGATCCACAGTATCAGCCTTGAGTGCCACTATACGCCTTA